TAACCTTCATCTTTTAAAAATCTAAACATTTAAAGGTCTACTCCTCAATTGTTTGTTACAAATGAAAGACAACCACCGATGTTGATATAGATATATTCATTTTAATGCAACCCTCTGATGATGAACAGCCCCTCAAACTCAATATTTGTATTCTCGACATTCTTTAAGTAGCTAGTAGGCCATCAAAACAACCTCTTCTTGTGAAATTTTTTAAGTAGGCTCAAACTTGATTGTTTAGTGCCTCTGCTCTATATAAACTTTTCCCAAAAGTAAATGAGTTTAGGTCAAAAATGCCCTGATTTTTTCTAATCCCCTCTATTTGGAATCATGTGACTCTCTCCCTACTAGCACACTCTCTCTCCCAAAGTAAAAATCCATTCTATCTCTCTTTCACTCTTATTCTCTCTCTCTTTTTCATTCGCGGTAATGCGGTCTAGCACATAGGGTGTTAGACAGAAATTTTTTTTGCGGTCTGGACCGCAAAAAAATTTCGTTCTAGCACCTAGTGTGACGGACCACATTGAGTTCCAGTAACATGGCTTGTAATGCTGTTCGACACCCAATGTACTGCATCGGGTAGCTTTGAGTTAAGTGCTAGACCAATTTTTTTTTTTGCAGTTTGGCACTTTTTTGTGCCTATGGTACCCTATGTGCCAAACCGCATTACTAGAGAACGAGCGAGAAAGAGAGGATATGGTTTTTAGAGAGAGAAAGTGATAATATGGGTTTTTACTTTAAGACAGGGGGAGAGTGGATAAAGAGAGAGAATCGTGTGACTCCAAAAGGGGAGAAAAGAGTAAGTAAAGGTATTTTTGTTCCAAATTATTGATTTTTTTATTTCGGGATAAATATAAAATAAAATGGTATTGGGGTTTAGGGTAGAATAAAAAAAAAACTGACGTAAGATGTCTAGAATGTTGAATTTGAGGGGTATTTATAATTTTTCTATAAAAATATAAATAAATTTTAAAAAATAAAAATAACAATTTTACGGAAAAAACATTTGGACCATTAGTTTTAATTGTTTTTATGGACTACCTATTTGCATCCATCTTTAAGATGGATGCTTTATACCTTGGGACCACGCATATTGTAGAAATGCGGCCCAACATGCAAGAAACAATTTTCCTAACTATAATATATATTGTAATACATTATCTTAGAATACTCATTCTACAATAAAAAATAAATGTTTCTGTGTCGTTTTTTAGATTTTAGATTTCATAATCGATGTTGAAAATTGATTTTAGAACCACCATAAGGGCAATGATTTCATGCAACCGTTGTATAATAATATGATACGATAACCTTAAAAAGCCATCCTTATGGCCAATTGTTTGATCCAAATTTTGAAACATACATTCTTTTCATTCTAATGAACAATAACAAAAAAAGAAAAAATTGAAAACACAAACTAGAAAGTATTTTTTTAGCCCAATTAACATAGGCCATTCATTTTGGTGAGATATTTAGATCTAGGTTTTAGAATGATTTTTTCATTTCCAATTTTTTTTTGATGGCTTTATTATCATTAGATGAACAATATTAAAAAAGGAAAAAATGATTTTGAGTTTATAAAAGCTAAAATCTTGAATTCACAAAATGAATGGTCTATAGATTCGTTCTTGAAGGGAACTCATTTTTACCGGTTCAAAATTGAAAGTTTGTTTTAGAGGAAATTGATTATTGAGATGAAAATAGTGTGTGTGCATAATTTGGGGTCATACAAATACCACAAACATAGTTTTTTATAAGTGTCGTTGTATTATTCTATAATACAACCGTTGCATTGGATCATTGCTCAAAACTAAATCCTTTTCTAAATGAACTTCGAGCTCCACCGAGAAAAAAATTGAAAAAGGACAAAGATTATCTCTCTCCAACCAAAAATGAAAATAATAAAGAAATGACCATATCCCATATAAAATAGCAACGTGTGAGGCACACAGAAGTCTCTCTTTAAAAGTAAATGATAGTGGATGTTAACAACCCATGACCAAATAGGCAACCCCACCTTCCAACTCCAACCCCCCTCCACCCAACTCCCTTTCTCTCTCATCGTCATAAACCCAATACCAAATCATAGGAGCAGCTCTCAAACCCACACACACTCTCGCATTGTAGGAAAATTCCGCACCACACACACTCACTCTCGCATTGTACGAAAATTCTTGCGGTTTAAATTCTCACCGCCCGGTTAGACCCAAATAAATAGTTCCGATTTTCGGCCACTTTTGATGAATTGGTTGGGTATTTAAAAAAAAAATTATATGAAATCTCAAAAAATAAAAGATTTTGTTTGTGATGTATTTTTTTAATGTTTTTAATCATTTTGGCAGATATTGAAAATTGTTGTGGTTATTAATACTTATTTTTAAATTTTTTCATCTTTCTTAAAAAATTTCAAAAATATATAATTTTCAACTTCATTTGGATTGGATGTGTTTTGTTTAATCATATTTTAAATATATTTTTCATATTCTATTAGATTTTTCATATTTTTAACAATTTTTTTGAGCGACTTGTCCAGATAGGACCCGTTGAACCAACCAATTTACCGGTTAAACTAGTTGAACTGCTTCTGGCCCATGTCCGATTAACCGTTCCGATTTGATATTTCCTACGCTGCTCTCTCTCAAATTGCATAGGCAAATCTCTCTCTCTCTCATGGGTGGGTAGTTGAGAAGAGAGAAAAAAGACCCATGTCCGATTAACCGTTCCGATTTGTTATTTCCTACTGCTGTCTCTCAAATTGCATAGCCAAATCTCTCTCTCTAAACTCTAACTCTCTCTCTGATGGGTGGGTTGTTGAGAAGAGAGAAAAAGGAGGGGGAAGGGAGGTTGGTGAAGAAAAAAAAACATCCAACAAGTGGACAATAAAGACAGCATGTAACCCAACAACTCTCTTTTTTATAGTCGTTTGGAATGCATTTCGTTATGAAGTCGTCTTTGACTGTATGTTTGGTTCAAAAGTAATTCATTTAATCCCAATACAGGAAGGACTTCATTTTATTTTTTTTAATTTTCACAAAAATTGTAGATGCTATCGCAGAAAGAAGCTTCCCTCTACTTTCCCATAAATTACTCTATTGAGTTCACCACCATAAAACACGACAATTGCCCTCAAGTGATGCACCTCATGTGAAATCACAATCTCCCTATGCGACTTGGTAAGAGACGCTACTAGTTCATAGCCAAAAACAAAGGGGTGCGGTTTGTATAGAGCCTAAGCTCTAAACAATCAAATTACAGTCTACCATCAAACAGTTTCGAGAAATATGGTTTTAATATTGAAAATCTTTGTGATAGCCTTAAAATATATCTTCATGTTTATTTATAAAGTTTAAAACTTCAAAAATAGTGTAGATCGACAGATCTATGCAAACTTGAAAACCTTAAAAATTGACGGTCCAACACGAAATATATTATTTCCAAAACTTGAAATCCATTTTTTTTTCATGTCCATGCATCTTGATATCGAGATGATCAATTTGAAGATATTTGAGTATCAAAACGACCTCTTTTAATAAAAATTTTGATGTAGGCTCTAATTTGATTGTTTAGAGCCTCGATTGATTCTGTATAAACTTTTCCCAAAAGAAAGTGAAATGCGTGCAAGGTACACTTCAAATACCGTTATGTACACGTGTTTTGCATGATCACATAAGCGTTCTTTCCTTTGGCTCCATAAGTACAAGAGAATATTATATTTCACTATATAATCTTTACTCTCTTTTTCTAATAGAAAAAGTTTTTAGGGTTGTAAAAAAAAAGTATATATGGTCTATAAGTTAATATGGAATGTGTATATTGTAATTAATATATATAAAAAGGTAGGTACAATATTTTGTATTTTATCTTATCATATGTATTTGTTTATATAAGATAAATATATAAAGTCCAACTAATTTGGGATGTTTTCTATCGATAAAAAAAAACTAGAAGGGTCTTTTTTTTATGCTTCAAAGCTCTATGCACCCAAGCTTGAAGCCCACTGTAGACAGACACTGGAGTTATGTATTTTTGGAGAGAGAATAAAAATGAAAAGGGGTAGAGAGATAGTGATCTGTGCTTTGTTCTTGTACTCTGGAATGTTAATGTGTATTTTGTATGGAAAAGCGGATCCTATAGAACTCCAAGTATTTTAGAACAACCTTACAAAATACTATGTTGTTTTGAAATATACAAGTATTTTTCAAAACAAAAAATACTAACAATTTCAAGTTTAATTCATTACAAAGTGGCACTTAACACAACAATTAACTATGAAAAAGTTTATATAAGGTTTTAACCTTAATATGTAGAATTAAAGATGCACCTCAAAAATTCATCAGAAAAAAGTTGATTTAATGTTGAAAAACCCTCTAATTAATCATCTCAACATCAAGATGTATAAATTTGAAAGAAAAAAAAAAAAGATTTTGAGTCCCAGAAATAGTGCATCTTGAGACACATTATCTAGACTGTCTATTTTCAATATTTTCATATGCTTCTAGATCTATTTGATATCTAGACCGTCTATTTTCAAGATTTTCATATGTTCATAGATCTATTTGATTTTAACAATTTCTGGAGTTTAAAATTTTATAATTAAAGATAAAAATAAACTTTCAGATAATCCTAAAAAACATTTACACTAAAATTACATGTTACGATAAAATTTGGAGGTGTGCCTTAATTAGATTGTTTAAAGATGATGTAACCTTGTACAAACCACATCCCATTAACTATCACCCATAAAACCAAGAAACAAAACTTCCTCCCATGAGAAAATGATATTAGATTTGTTAAACTCTAGAGTTGTAGTCAACGTTCGACTAACTATCAAATTGAAATCTTCTTGGCAATGCAATTCATAATTTAAACTTGCGGTTGCAGGTTCCAGAAGTTGGATTAGCCTTCCATAAAACCAAACAAAAATGTCATGATCCAGAGCCTTCTCTGTACCCTGTCATTCCACCCCAAGTTCTAATGCGCTCATCTGCTCGAGAAGCCTAAAACACAACAAACCCAAAAGTTGATTTAGTTTCCATGTGAATAAAATTAACAAAAACAACTGTTAGTGCAAATAGATGGAAGGAAAGATCATTCCCCCAAATGCCAGATCCAATTCAAAAAGAGAGATTGAGATCCTGGCTACTAATGAATGCTTTTCCCCCTAAAAAGACTAAATACGTGAGTATGAATTCTCTCAAAAGAAATGAATGCAGTTTGTTGAAATCCTTTTACCTCTCTCCCCCAGTTTGCTCGAAAGATGATTAATGTAAGAATCACTGTTTGCAAGAGGCTTCCGACCACCATTCCCAACCAAAATCCCTGCATCATAAGAATGGAACAAGGAGTCAATTTACATTTTCCATATTATATCAATATAAAGAAGAGAAGGGAGTCAATTCGCAATTTTCTTTTTCAAAATTTAAAACAAGCCAAATGAGTGGTATATCAGAATGTGGCAACCCTATTACCTTGACTCCCAGATTGAACTTAAAGCCTAATAAAACACCTATGGGCAACCCAAGCAAGTAATAGCACCCAAGACTTATAAATGCAACCATTACTTGCCACCCTGCACCAACTGCAACACCTGCATCCATAAAGAACAAAAAATCATCTTAAGGAACTTATTTCATACAATTATTAACTTGTTAAAAAAAAACAATCATACATATCTCCAATAGAAAGATTCCTCCACCCACCTCCAACCTCGAACAGAAACAAACCCCCACCCCCCAACCTCGAACAGAAACACCCCTCCTCCCCCTTCCCCCCCACCAAAAAAAATAAAATAAAATAATGAAAGATGCTGGGCGATGCAAAGGTAAGTATATTCCAGGTGTTAAAAATCGCTGATCTGAATATGATTCGGAAGGTGATCGGACAGGTTCCACTCGAGGGATTGGGATTCGGTATATTCTGTCTAATTTGCATTATTGCCAGCACTTTTGTTTTTCTTTATTTTCAGAATTTCTTTTTTAAATCTTCAACTTAGTTGCTGGTTCACCCAATTCAAGCAAATCCATACAGGTCCAATTGAGGGCCGCTCCACATGGGTGATCCGTGTATTAAAACACTGGTATATATCAATTAACATAAATTTCAATACAAGGAAAATTCAGAAGAAGAAAAGTTCCACTGCCAGGCCAAAGAAAGGTGCTTCTTAAGTCCATATTTACATGCACATGGAAACATTCAATTGTGCTACTCCATACATAAATGTGCGGGTCTGAAGAGTAAAATATATGAAACATAAGGGAAGTAATTTGTATTGTTACCAGAGAGGACAGGCTGAATGCTATTAAGAAGCATTGTCAAAGAAAGAAGAGCCCAAAGCCTGGAAGTTTCTTTTATGACCTTCGTATCTGTAGTGAAAAGCTTGGGAAAGTCATTTCTTGCAATGATAATTGTAACCATAAAAAAGATTCCCAGCACAGCTGATGTAGTTAAATTCACCACCACAGAAAACCTCGCAGCTTTTGGTTGATTGGCTCCAAGTTCATTTGAGACCCTCACACTGCATATAAGAGAAAGAAATTCAATTAGAATTATCTTTCCTTGGGAACTATATCAGGGTTTATGAATGTAGATGGAAGAGAATAGTCTTAAAAAATGCTCCAAAGTTCTCAAATGCCCAAGGGAAAAGGTAAGTATGCATTCTACCAACCTTACAGCAGTGTTGAACCCCAAAGCCACGATCACTGGCCATAGTTCAAAATTCATGCTGCCATGATTAAATTACAAAGAAAAATGACAGAAAAGAGATAAACATCGTTAACATTTCGAGGGAGAGAGAGAGGGAAGAGAGAGAAGAGAGAGAGAGAGAGTCAAGATCAATGAGACCATTAGTTACCATAGGAACACATACACTCTAGTTTATTACCTTAGGAAATTGGTCAGAGAAACGAGTATTTTGAACTGCTTTAGGGAAATTGTTGTTTGCTACTATGTCCTGGAATGTTTGGTTTGATCAAATTCTCTAATTTAGTTTCATGGGAAACCAAATTTTATTTATGAAAATTTTTCAATAGTTCAATGAACTCAAGGGAGAAAAGGAACAGACGACAGAGTATAACAGTATCTCACCAGATAGAAATCGCATCAACCGCAACTTCCGGATTATGCAAGTGCCCAACCAAAAGTATAACTATAGTATAGTACCAAAGATCCAAGCTGTCACCAAAACATTTATAAGTAAACCATGAAAATCTTATTTAAATTAAGAAATTTTTGCATTAAAATTGGCAAAAGTTTTTTGTTTGTTTGTTTGTGTGTGAATAAATTGGGAAAAGGTTACTGTACAAGAAAGAAATAAGGTGACTAACCATAGCATTATGGCTGATGCAAGAGAGAGTTTTACAAAGGCAAACAAGGAATGAAATGCCAACAAAGAAAACCCAGTCCAAGCTTCAGGAAAAAACCCTGATATCAGATAGATAATTTGAGCCAAGTTTATAATCCACCATGAAATACTTCCGGCTGCAGCTGCTCCAGCCAACCCATAATTTAATTTGGTCACAAAGACCCAACACAATAATGCATGCACCATAAGAGTTATACCAGAGATCACTGTTATAACCATGATTTTGCTCTGAGACTGAAAGAACTTTAGTAATGGAAAGTTTATTGCATAGGCAAATAGTTGGGGAATAACCCATATCGAATACTTCCCTGCCATTTTCGATATATCGTCAGACTGGCGAAATAACTTCAAAATCGGTGAAGTAAAAACATAAAGTGGTGATAAAACCATGGCAGTTATGCATGAAACGATCCATGATCTTTGCGTATATATTCCCAGCATATTGAATTGCCCTGCTCCTACTGCTTGACCACACAATGTCTCCAGTGCACTTCCCAACCCTAGCTGCACAAGTGATACTGATGCTTCTAAAACAGAAGAGAGAGAGTGTGTGTGTGAGAGAGACAGAATACAGGTATCGATTAGTGCCAGGACTCGGTTGAGGCCACTCGGATTCGGCCGAGTAACTCATGCTGAGTTCCTGGTGAGTTAGGTGTACAACTTGCCCTGCCCAAATAAATGCTAAAAAAATGTATAACACATGTAAAGACATCTTAAACAATGAGAAAACATTAAAATAATGATTAGAAAGACTTCTTAGAAGATTTTGCTTGTTTTCAATATCATCAGGGAACTTTCATATTATTCTTTTTTTAAAAAAAAATTCTGAAATATTCAAGGCATAAATCCACTTTTTCAATAATCCATCTTTTATTTATTTATTTATATATATATATATATATATATATTAATCTTATTTAGTCTCCTAATGATATCACCAATCCTTTTTACCTTTTTCTGATTTTTAAATATTCACGTTTTTTTGGGGTATATCCTACTTGGCCGAGTTACTCAACCTCCACCTCGTTACTCAGCTTGGTCAATGGCCGAGTACCTTGACCGAGTCAATTTTCTGTACCATGTAAGCACCAATACAATTTAGACTAGGACTTATTGAATTATATCACGGATTCAGGATGAAATCTGTGAGAAAGTTATGATAAATTCAAACTTTAAGACATAATTCTCTCAAAATGGGTTGCTTTGAGATGCAACCCTAGTACAGCATAAACTAGGTCTCGAAGAATATTTCAGATGTGATGCAAGCATTAGTGGACTAATAAGAATTTATGGCATATGACAAGAAAACAAGCGAAAGATTTTGTTGAAAAATTAACTGTTTTCCTTGAAGTCCACTACAGCCCACTCTTTCAAGAAACAGAAAACACACATGTTTATTAATGACAATTGAAACTATGAATCATTCATGTTTCTCTGCAATCCCACAAGAAATGAACAAACTTCAATAAATAGTCTCTCATGAAAAAACCCAAAATAAGGCTTTCCACCTATCACATATGCCAAGTCCTATTGAGAGAGAGATTTTGATTATTACATGGAACCCAATGAGCAACCAAATTTCAGAGCAAGTAAAAAGCAAAAATCAAGAGTGATTTTTACTTTAAGAGATACAGATGAGTGAATTAACCATTATATCCATCAACATAAAAGGTTGAAATCATGCAAATTTGAAGGGAAAATATAACAAAACTGGCACTGCATTGCAAAATAAATAAACTGAAAATCATAAAAAGACATGAAGCTCTTATGAGTGATGACTATGAAATTTACCATGACCCCAAATGCAAAACCTTCAATGACATTCTGAACCATTGAAACAGCAGCCAATTCAGTGCTCCCCAATCTCCCAACAAAAGCCACTGTTATAAACCCAATTGAGAAGAGAAAAGTTGCAGCTAAAATTGCAGGGCCTGCAATATACCAAGTAACCTTTGATTCTTCAAGGCTTTTATGGCCCAATTTTGTTAAACCCTCACAACCCACATCTGGGTTTGAAGCATTAACCTCTCCCATGGCCAAAACCAGGCCTAATTTGTAAGCCCGAACCACGTATTTGAAGTTTTAAACCCAGCTTCCTCACCATGAAAAAGCCATCAAAGGCCACTCGAACAAAATCCCAATTGGAAAAATTGTAAAAACGTTGAATGGTGGAAAGACGTCAAGAATTTTTGTGGGGAGAGAGAGAGAGACTTTAGTGTGACTTTGAGAGTCAACTGGTCTAGAGCTAGTGCCATACACGGCAGCGCAGTAGAAGTAATATGAAAGAGAGAGAGAGAGAAGCAGTATGAGAGAGATTCAAATGGCGTGAAAACATGCGTCATTCTTTACACAGTATTGCAAAACAGATGGTTTTGAACTGTTTTGATTCCTTAATAATGGGTAGTCTAGAATTAGTTCCAAACGACCGCTTTGGCTCTTTACTAAGAGTGGGCTGGTTCTAATGGTTCCGCACCAATTTGATTTATTATATTGAGGAGTTAATTTTAAATGAGTTTGAATCCTTATAATGAGTATTTTGGAGCTAATAGTTTTGAAGGTATTTTGGAAAATATAAAAAATACAATACAATGACATGAGAGACATTTTAAGACCACAAAAATTAAATACTATTAGCGTAGGCTTTATGAATGTTTTTACCATCTCTGCGATCAAATTAATATCAAATATGGATCGCATGTACCTATTGCTGATGGTGGTGATGTACAATTGCAAACTTTCAAAGTGTATTTGGACTTCACATTAAGTGAGTTCTAGCACCCCTCATGATGTACTTTGGTGGTACATCATGCTATCCAATTCCACTTGACAGTTCCAAAAATCTAACAATTTAAAAAGCACGTAGGGGGTGTATGCCCCATTGAATTACTTAAAAAGAAAAAAAAGTTCTAGAGTCTTGAAGTAAATTAATTGCTAAAAGTACAAACATTTATGAAAAAGGGTGAGGTTTGTAGAAGGTGCTTACCTCATATACCTACAAATAAAGGTGTATTTTTTTAATTTTATCAAAAGATATAGTCTTGGTGTGTCGAAAAACAAACAATGGTTGAAAAATCTATGTTCAATCATAATCATAAAATTTAAAATTTTCAAAATAGTGCTATATATCTGGCAAACCTATAAACTATTTGAAAATCTTGAAAGACGGTTCAAATAACTTGTTATAAGATGCCCCACTTTTAAGAATTGTCATTTTTTCTTCAATTTATACATCTCGACGTCAAGATGTTTTTCTAATTTATCTTGCACAAGATTTTTTATGTGCACTTTACTTATATTGTATAGGTTTTACAATCTTATATAAATTTTTTCCTTATCAAAATGAATGTAAAAGATGAACTATTTATCAATTTAATTTCAAAAACCCACTAGACCATAAATTGAAATAGTTAAAAAAGATAACATCTTAAACAGTTGATAAACAAGGTTAATTTTTCAGATTAAAATTGCTATGGGGCAGTATTTTTATTTCCTCTTGGAAGAAGTGTATATATAGCCAAGGTTCTAAACAATCAAATTAGAGCGCACCTAAAAAATTTCACTAAAAGAAGTTGTTTTGATGCTCAAATATTCTCAAATTGATCATCTCGACATCAAGATGCATGAACATGAGGAAAAAATGGATTTCCAGTTTTGAAAATAGTGCATATTACAATGTATTTTTGGACCATTAATTTTCAAAATTTTTAAATTTTTATAGACCGATCTACTCTATTTTTCAAGCTTTAAATTTTATAATTAGAGATATCACAAATTTTATAATTATATTTTTTAAGGCTATCACAAAGATTTTCAGTATTGAAACCATATTTCTCGATACCATTTAAAGGTGCGCTCTACTTTGATTGTTTAGAGTGTCGGCTCCATACAAACAACACCATTTCAGAGCCAGGCTCTAAACAATCAAATTTGAGCCTACCTCAAAAATTTAACTAGAAAAAGTTGTTTTGATACTCGAATATCCTCTCTTGATGCATGGACATAAGAAAAAAATGACTTTCAAGTTTTGAAAATAGTGTATTTTGTAATACATATTTGGACCGTCAATTTTTAAGTTTTCATAAATCTACTCATCTCCACTGTTTTTGAAACTTCAAACTTTATAAATAAAGGTGAAAATAAATTTTATGGCTATTACAAATATTTTCGATATTAAAACCACATTTTTCGATACTATTTGAAGGTAGGCTTTAATTTGATTGTTTAGAGCCCAGGCACTATAGAAACCGCACCCTTTTATTTGACACCCGTTTACTCAGTTAGGTTCGTATTTCGTCCCCAGCGTTATCTCCTTCCCCTTGAATAAAAGCCCTTGAATTCCCTCTCTCACTATAAGACTTAGAGAGAGAGAACAAAGAGAATGGCTTCGATCGCTTCTCTCTCCTCTTCCCTCTCATCTCTTTCTCTAACACCCAAAACCCCCTCAAAACCCCTCATCTCTCATCCCTTCAACTTCAACTTCCCTAAACTGAAAACCCCACAACTTGGGTTGATCAAAAAATCACAAAAACTTCCATTAATCTCTGCAACTATTGCATCTCCCTCTGGTCTCGAGACTTCGGACTTGAAAAAGTATGTGAAATCCAGGCTCCCTGGTGGTTTTGCTGCTCAGACTCTTATTGGAACCGGGAGAAGGAAGTGTGCGATTGCTCGAGTTGTTCTTCAAGAAGGGAGTGGGCGCTTCATTATCAATTATCGTGATGCAAAGGTTGGTTTTCTTCTAAGTATTTTTTAGGAACCCCGTTGTCTTTTTGGTGAAAATGGAGTCATTATTCTTGCCTTTTGCTTTTTCTTTCTGTTGAATTTTTTCCTTGTCCTCAATAGATGTATTGTTGTTAGATTGTCTAGTTTTAGTCCCGTTTTTTGTGAAATTGGTTTATATTTTTTATTGAATACAGATGTTTTCATGTTGTAGTAGTGGTTTCTGTTATTACAATTATGATATATTGCTTTTTTCTGTAGTCTCTGGGCTATTTTTTTCCGCTTAGACATGGCTCTGATTTTTTGAAGAATTGTTTTTTTGTTGTTGTTGTCATTTTGCGCAAATTCTTTCGTGTTCAAGAAATGAGAATTTATTTTATATTTTGTGATTTGGCTGGTGACAAATTTGGTTCATCCTTGTAAATGTTGGATTATTGGTTTCCTGGTCAATGGCCTGCATAATTATACGTTGTAACCTTTAAAAAGATCCTTGACGCTAATTTTCAATTAGGTAAATTAACAAGTTTTAAAAACTCAAGGAATGGCTTTGCAGATGAATTACCAATGATTTGGTCGGTTAAATGAGTCAGCTCAATGCGATTTAGAAAAGCACAGAAAGAAAGAAATCGATCTGTTTTATGTTCTATTTTCTCCTCTGAGCTGAACTACCTGTGCTGAAAAAGGTGAATGTGCCAGATTGTTCATGTTGCTACGTAACAAATATATTATCAGTCCTCTCTGTTTAGGTTTTTACTTCCTAGCCCCCTCCCCGGCCCGCCCCGCCCCGCCCTCTCTCTCATTTTCAAATATTTGTTCTTGTTACTTTTTGGGAACCAACCTGCTAAGACCAAGTTGCTGAAACTGACCTATTAAGTGGTGAATATAACAATATCTTGCATTGTATTTCTTTTTCGAAATGCTATTTTGTTTCTTAGACAAGGGTATTGTGAATTTGTAGGAATACCTGCAAGGTAATCCATTATGGCTGCAATACCTCAAGGTCCCACTTATAACTTTGGGTTTAGATAGCAGTTATGATGTGTTTGTTAAGGCGCATGGAGGGGGGCTATCTGGTCAGGCCCAGGCCATCTCTCTAGGAGTCGCACGTGCTTTGCTGAAGGTGAGTGGGAATAACAGAGGGCCCCTCAGAAAGGAGGGCCTCCTAACGAGAGACTCGAGAGTGGTGGAGAGGAAGAAGGTTGGCCTCCATAAGGCTCGCAAGGCTCCACAGTACTCGAAACGTTGAGGTACTGAGAGCACACCTCTCTCTCTCTCTCTCTCTCTGTCATTTTACCTGTTATTTTCTTTCTTCTTTTGCTTAAGTGAATCTGTCATTTTCCTTGTTTGTAGAGATAATCTACATCTTGCCTTTTGCTTTTTGTTCTTGTTAAGTTGGATGGAGCTTTCATCGACTTTCTAATTCTAAGTATTCTTCCATGAAAAGCAGCAAGTTCTTTACTTTTTTTTCTTTTTCATGCGTTTGTTCCTTTGTTTTAGCATTTCTATTGGTACATTGGGTTCCCATTTAGGGTGTTTCCTTGTGTATGTGGGGGGAGAGAGAGAGCGCATTGGGTTCCCATTCAGGGTGTTTCCTTGTGCATGTGGAGATTGAGAGGGTTTCATATACATTGGAGCGAAAGGCAGGGACATGGATCACAATTGCAATTGCATTACATTACAGAGGCTTTCTTTTGAGAACACAAATTATACCTCAAAATTCATCAACAATTGCAAGAAAGCTCTTGCACCACCAGATTAGGAACTTCAGTTTACCCATGAATCCTTTTGTCCTATAGTTCATGAGGTGAAGAAACCTATGCATTAGAGAAAGAGAATAACTCAGAAGAACCAGAAGTATGACTCAAATATAGGAAAGTGAGCACCAAAGGGTAGAATGAACTAAGACGAGGACAAGCTCAATGATTGATCTTTGATAATTAATCAGGCAACTCCTACCTAATTCATAATTTCACAATCCCTGTCATTCATGATAGTCATGTCTGTCACTTACAAGGTCTTCTCAACTTTCTCTTCCCAACAACAAACACTGTTCCCCTTTCAGCGCCCAACAACTCATGAACAAAGTGTTACAATTTCATACACCAGCCACTCTTATGGTTCTCTTGATTCAGCTTTTCTCTGAAGAAATTTTAGATACTTGAATCCAATATTTGAAATTTCTGTTTACCTTGAAAGTTTATTGAAACAGTAGTAATACATTTCAGGGAGCTGGGACAAACATCCTAAGTATGCCTTTTACCCCATAGACAAAAGGAATCTGACATTTCTCAAAATGAATTTGTCTCTCACAACATTGACAACTTTCTTTTGAGTAGAGCGTGCACCAAAAAAAAGGGCAGCTCTACAGCAACATGCAATTTTTCAAAGAAAATCCAATAATAAGAAGAGCTCCAACCAATCTAAACATGAATTAAAGAATGCTTGCAAAGAAAATCCTGCAAAGATTTCATTGGCATAAAACAACCTAGATCCACATTTCGATCTGTTGAAAAGAATAAAATCTCAACACCAAAAATCACAGCTCAAGAATAGAAGCACACATTACAAAATCATATAGAAAGACAATCCATGAGTGGACATCCCATAAAGTGCAACTTAAAGACAGTCTAAGTAACAATACTAATATATTCACCAAGATTCGATGTGTGGATTACAAAGACATCTGAATAACTAAACAATGCTGTTGATCTACCTTGAAAACAATTGAAAGTGCAATTACTGTTTGTTAATCAGGTGCAGTATATCATATTTTTTTCATCATGGTTCATTTTATGCACAAAGCTCGCCAACAGAGCTTCAACTGACTAACTGAAAAGTGAGGTTAAGGTGCGTCCACAGACTCATGTGGACACCCGTCCAAAATCCATTTGGAGATGATTAATAGCCCAACACCTGACAGATCTCTATCATCATGACCTTCCTGATCATGAATCTGAAAAGGAAAATGAATTTTAAGTCCTAAAACTGGTCCATCCCATTCCCTTTTCTTTGGAGCATTCATTTTAATTGTTCAATAATCATCAAATCTGCATTATTTTGGGAGCTCCAAATTCGAGAAACTCAGGCAGAATTAGATTTGCAAAGATTTAGGATGTGTTTCGAGTTCAAAATCAGGCAAAAACGAGGGAAAGTACATGTGTGCACAGACCCATGAAACACTACCTTTACTACATCTCTGTCGAGATCAATTACCCACAGATGCATTAGTCCAATAATTAATCTAATAGAATTTATAAGAAATTAATGATATATCCGTTAGCTGAATGTATAATAGCCCAGTTCGTGTCATTGAATTTCAATATGAAGGTCACAGACCAAAAGTTGGAACCTTTCCAATGCAATCTATTTCCAAATTCTTTAATGAATAAAAGTCAAACATGTACATCACATCATGGAACAAATAAATATACACAAATACAAGAACAAACTTGTTCGTGCCTTTTGCAATTGGTAAATTTTCTTTTGCGTGGCCTTGCACATGCCCTTAATTTGTCAGAAGTGCAGTACTCATTCAGAGGAAAGTAATTTGACCGCTTGTTTGAATGCATCATAACAGCGATTGGGAAAATTGTGTTTATCATTGCTTGAGGCAATTTATCCTAGAATATCACCCTAGAGCACAAATTTAATTTACTGAGTTAGAATCCTTATCCGTCATTGCTTGAGGCAATTTGTCCTAAAATATCACCCCAGAGCACAAATTTAATGTGCGGAGTTAGAATCGTGTATGCTTCTTGATCTAATTCCCACACTCTTACCAACTCCTTCATAGAAGGTCTCATTTGGTGAACCCATTGTTTATTCATCTGCGTTTACATGTGATTGGAAGAGCTTCTAATCTTCAAATATCAGCATAGGTCCTTAAATAGAAAATTCTATTGGACTAATAAAATATGTATGTTGAAATAAGTCCCACAAAGCAAACATGGGCAAGGCAGTTCAAACTTCATCAATATGAAACAGAACTAACCTATATTTGTCAGATAAATCCTTGAACAAAAAAAGAACACTATCCCAGGTTAAACTGGTCAGAATTCTGTTACTTATCGAAAAAAGAGATGAAATTCGTGAGAATAGTGTTGAAATGGCCAGAGTTGGTATAAACTGAAGCAACAGAACTGTTAGAACTTGCTGAATGGACTAGTTGAACCCGACAAATATTTCTCTATCATTCTTTTTTCTTTCTTTTTTTCTCCATTAGGCAATCCAACTGATAGGATTGGCAGTCTAACCTGGTTAGACTAGATCAACAACTTTCACAGTTCAACGCCAGTAAGGCCGTTATAACTTGTTAGAACCCTTTACTTCTCAGTATCTGGTAAAAAAACCTACAAGAATCCGCTTGTTTATTATGGAACTTTAAGAAAAGAAACCTAGACCTGGAAACCTTAAATTTTGGATGGATTCCTCTGTATGTATTTAATCATCCATAGCGTGTGATGGTTCATGGTATTGTTTCTACATGACAAGAAGATCATGGGTACAACTTGTTCATGTTAGACACAAATTTTATGTTGGTACCAATACAGTAAACATAATACATGATGAGGTCTTCAAGTACTTTATTGTGCCTTCCATTTGTTGTAATGAAAAAACTACTCATTGTAAATTTCTACGGAACTAAACAATGTATAACAAACTAATTCAAAGAGATTGATTGCTATGGATCATCAAATGTTCTTTGCAAAAAAGTAAAATCATCAAATGCTCTTTGCGAAAAAGTAATGTCTAATCACATTACAAAGTACATTCGTCTGATAACCCAACAAGATAACATGAAACTTGCGAAAGTACCTCAGCTTGGCCCTGGAAAGATTACTCAAGCAAGTCCAACATATCTTGTCTACTGACACAAAACAAATTTATATTGGCAAATCGTGCGGCATAGATCTCAAATGTGCATAAGGTTAAGGCTTCTTAGCCATTGTATTTACAGAGAACTAGTCGGACCGTGGCATTCAGTCACTGTTTTAGCTCTTCCGTATGAATCATCTTATCATGAAAATTATTTAAGCACAAGCAAATAAAAAGTAGACCAGTATACACATGCTCCATGGAAATGAGACTTAATAGAAAAATGATACACATGATTTGAATAGACTACATGTGAGTGGGAGAGAGCAGGTCAGAGACAAATAAGAATCAGAAGGCAGAACTTCTTTTAGGAGAGGAAACAACACCCATGTGCCAAGGTTACCATCATTATAGAGAAGGCTGATATTAGGGTGTATGTACATACCATAACATGAGGGAATAATAATAAAAAGCAAACAGATAAATGAATGCATGTGTGTGTAGATTTGATCTGCCTTAGGGCAAGCTGCCATTGTGTCTGCCCTACATCATTTTTAAGGGTTTTAGAAACATTTGTTAGAGCCCAAATTTTGTACACACACTCTCTTGGATCCATCAAACAAGATAGTGAATAAAACTTGAAAAAATACTGTAGAAAATGACTTTTCTTTTTTTTGAGAAGAGAGAAATTGCAGTGAATATGGCCTGTCCATTTCAGGAAAGGAAAAGATGATATTAGATCGAGGCCCTAGATGCATCTATTGGACCCCAAAATTTGTAGATGGACTCATCACCACCAAATGAACAATTTAAAAGAGAAAGGAAAAACTGATTTTGAGACCTTTACAACCCAGATCTGACTGTTCATGAAATCGACGGCACATGTTTAGGGTTGGGTTACAATTCTTTCAGGCTTTTCAGGTAAAAATTCAAAATTTTTATTTTTGGGCTTTGATGCAATGATGAGCAGGGAACATCCACAAAATTTGGGTTCCAAAGGACCCTACAAACAATGGTTTCTAACTAGGGCAGATACTGCAGCTGAGCCCCCTATGGCAGGTCAAATCCTTTTCCTGTGTGTGTGCATGGCCAATCAGCTTATAGAACCATATTTCATTATATGTCCGTGTGTATGTGTATTCTCCTCGTAATACTTGTGGATTAAATGCTACATCATTCGTCAATGTCTTATATGCATGCACTCATTGGCGGATATTCTTGGTTTAAGTATCCAAAGAAAAACAGATATGAAGAATTGAAAGTAGCAGTAGGAAAAAGAAGGGTGGGTTTAAGGCCCATAACCTCAACCCAGGCCTGCTCATGCCCAAGTTTGCTAAGTTCCAGCCACCTCGTTTACCTCTTTTAGGACAATCAATAATCTGTTGTAGTCCTTCAAAAAAAGAGTGGAAGAGGCCCTTCTAAGTCAACAAGTAGCATCTAAAAAAGAGTGGAAGAGGCCCAGTGGTGCATGAGACTCTTCTTCATCAAATCAACAAGTAAAAAACAAGCCCCACTTTTTTGTGTTCTCTATTTCTTGTCAATTTTTATTGATAAGCGATCCAAAATAAACTCCTACTCCGCCATGGCCAGTCCCGACCCGGTCATGCCAGTCCCAAGTCCGGATAAAGTAGGAGGGTTGTGTT